GCACACGATCATGCCTTTTCGATGGTGATCTAACGATCTAGAAACTCAACTGGCGTTGTTTCTCCTATTCCGGTAAGCCGCCGTTCCCCTCCTCGATGTGGGAGTGCGGGGAGCTCACGATCTACATTAGGTAGCTCTATTTCCCTTGCTTTGGGGTTTAAGTAGAGTTAGACCGCGACACTCTATTTGTATTGGTGATGGCGCTGATCTGGCAAACTATATTTCTCTAGCACCTCTCCATCTCGAGGGTGTTGGCTGCGGCGGTGTTGATAGATCATCAGCGTAGATTTTTGTTGGCCTTTGTGGCCGATGAGTTCAGAGTTCGCAGTGTTTGTCGACATGGCAGCGGCAACACCTTCCGTTTGCAGTTTGGTCCTCTGCCCTCCTCTCCATTACATTGTTCGACATCGTGAGGCGTGCCCGTTTTTTCGAGGTTGAGAAGTGTTATCTTCCAATTGCCCTCCTCTCCATTACATTGTTCGACATCGTGAGGTGTGTCTGTTTTTTCGAGGTTGAGAAGTGTTTTCCAATTGTGACGACTTTGACGTTTTCTCTCTCCAGGGCACTGGTCTGGTTGGACTATGGCCTCAATGGCTTCTTATCTGTGATCAGCAATTATTGGCTGGCTTCAGTGATGGAGAGGCAACAGGAATGTTGCGACATCAGCATGCTTGGGAGGAAGAAAACAACCTGCCCCCTAGCGAAATAGATTTGATGACTTTTTCATAGAAATATGAATATTTAAGTTTTGAAATTGGTCAAACTGACTAAGATAATACACATGCGGTAAAGAAACATGACCATTTGGAAAACTTGAAATGTAGTTTGCTTGAAACCATACAATATCTAAGTGATGTCTTCAACTTTTCACATTTGTAAGCAATTGAAAATACGAACGATCTTGCAGATCGACCAAAAGAAAAGGAAGACTTGTGACATGCATGGGGATGCGGAAATTGGCGGTTGCTAGCGAGAAAGTATATAATCTTAGTCATTGTAAAAAAACATTTATGAAGAGCATTGTTTTCTTTTTTTAAAAGATCACAAATTAAGTTATGTTATATCAAGCTTAAGTAAGTTACAATAGTTTATATCCACAAAGAAGTCCTTTTTCATGCTAAATTTCACATATATTATGTGTGTCTATCTGTCTCCACATGCAATCCATTTTTTCATGATTTTTTTTGAAACCTTTATGTATGATTTTCCGCTATGATCCATGATAGACTTTTTATTTCTCTATTTTCTATAAAATTATTTTTCCGAATATCACATAGAAAATAGAGGTTGAAATACCAGAACAACCAAAATGAGGAGATCATGCACCTAATATGCATGTTACTTGGACATGGAAAATTAACTGGTAAAATAGGCAAGTGCAATGCTGAGTATACTAATAGCCTAGCTTCTTTTGCTAGATGACCAACCTAAAGCAGAAGTCACCTTTAAGATGCAACCTGTCTGGCAGCTCAAAATTGAGTAGATGACACACCAGAAAAACCAAGTAGTCATGTAATAATACACCAACTCCTGATCTACGCTGCCCACTGCAACATCTATGCAAGACAGGGTAGCAAATTAGAAAATTACTCAACCTGTTAGGTGTACTATAACTCAACATGTTAGTAAGTTCCTAGTATGAATTAGTTTCTCATGTTATTTCATCAGCTTTTCACATGCATACATTCATCCTCGCCGGAAGCCCGGAACTCATCGATCGATTCAGCCCTAAATTGTTAGATTTAATTAACTTACATTTCCCTCAGACGGAGAAAACGAAAGATTAAACTTTCTGCTAAGCTTGCTTAAGTTCGTGAGTTGTGACAATGCCATCATTTCTGTTAGCTTGCCTGGCATGCTGATCATGGCGGCGTCACAGAGATAGCTCGTTTTATCTGGTCGGCTTGACCACCTTCGCGAGCCCCGAAGAACCGCCGTACATCGCTCCGGTGTCTCTGAACGCACAGAAGAACTGCCGTTGTTCGGGGGATGGCATGGGCATGCCGATGCCGGCATTGGAGGAAAAGCTGGGCACGTTGCAGGCCGAGGCGGAGGACGTCGACGCGACGCGCTTGCAGGAGAGGCACATGGTGAGGGTGGTGAGGGGCCCCGCCGGGGCACCGTTGTTTGCCGGCGGTGCAACCTTGAGCGCCCGGAGTTCAGCAACCTCCTTCTCGAGGCGGCGGTTCTGCTCGGCGAGCTGGTCGCACCAGCGCTTCATGTACTCGCAGTCCACCTCCGTCTGCTTCAGCTTGGTCCGAGCACGGCGGTTCTGAAACCACACCTCCACCTGCCGCGGCCGCAGCCCCAGCCGGTTCGCCAACGCCGTCTTTTGCTTCTGGAAATTGTCAATAAAGAAACCTCGGTCAGCCCAATGCGATCGATCACGAGGAATCCATGGACGAACACTATGCGAGCGAGGTGGATAGATCATCGGAGAAGGAGAAGACACTTACGGGGTTGAGCGTGCTGTGTGTCTTGAAGCACTCCTCCAGGACAGCGGCCTGGTCCTTGGAGAGCCTGAGCTTCTTGCGCCCGCCGGTGCCGTCATCGTCCTCGTCGCCGCCCACGGTGGCGCCGCCGCGGGAGACACCGGAGCCGGTGCGCTCCAGGCCCCTCTTGGTCCCGCCGCTGACGCCGCTCTCGGGCGACGTGGACGGCCTCATCCCCGGCTCGTCCTTCCGCTGCTGGTTGGCATACTGGTGCAGCCCGTACGACTCATGCGCGCCGACGACGGAGCTGAGCGCGGCGGTCCAGTGCTGCGAGTGGGAGGCGGAGGCCGGGGAGGAGGAGTCGGTGGTGGTGGAGGACGTGAGGCTGCCCTGGGAGGCGATCCCGAGCCCCAGGCCGAGGTCCAGGTCGAGGTCGGCGACGCGATGCATCATCGATCTCCGGCAAGCCCGATCCGATCTGAGATCTCTCCGGTGTAGAGGATGGATGATGGTACGGTGGCAGTGCTCGGTGGTGGTGGTGATGTGATGATCTGGCCTGGTGTTCCGTGGGCATGCGGCGGCGGGATGGTGGGCTATAAATAAGGCAGCGGTAGGCAACGGAGCGACCAAATGATGAGCTGTTCGATGGGGAGGTGCCTGGATCTCCTCTCCTCTGGTAAGCAATCCAAACAACTCAATTTTTTTACTTGGCTGTGATTAAATGGGTAAATAATGGCGATAAATGGGTAAATAATGGTGTATTATTAAGTGGCCGTGAATTAATGGGTAAATAATGATGATAAATACTAGTTTCCATTCCGCGCCACCCGCTCATCATCGCCAGCCACCGTGGTTCATACCATTGTTTAATATATGGAAGACAAATGTGAAATACCAATCCAACACTTTGGTGGCTTTTAATGCAATGATAAAACCTACTAAGAAAATGCCAATTGCCAGCTCTTTTCTACATTAAAAATTGAGATCACATATGTTATATGGGAAAATATAAGACCTCGTACTACAACAAATAAAAAAGCGCCAATGATACATGCCACGAGAACACGGCTTATAGAATTTTAGCTATGTATTGCTCCTGTGCATCCTTATCATGGAAGATCATGTTTGATCGGGAGGTGGATATCCTCTCCTTCCTGGCACTCGTTGTATCCAGGTATTATATTGATTAGCTATAAATAAATAATAGATAATCATGATAAGTTGTTTCCATTCCACGCCATTCGCCTCATCATAGCAGCCAGCTATGGTGCATGCTCCTCCTGGATCTGAATCTTCTTCCTTTCCTTGCCCTGTCTGGCTCCCAGCCGAGCCGAGACGTTTCCTTGGGCTTGCAGAACTTGGCTAAATTGTGTGTATGTGTACGCAGCGGAACTCAATGCAGGACCGAAGGGGTACAACAATCTTGGTACGTGTGGTTGTCTCGTGCTTGCTTGGTTTGATGAGATCATGTTATATTAGTAGCCATATCTCTCCAAAAGTGAAGTGGAATCTTAGCCTGATGAGATCTACCATTAGAGTGAATCACCTTTATCTCATCAATTCAATATTTTTGTTCTTTGTTTACCAATTTCTACCTAGATATTGACTTTTACATTTAACTTTAACATAGTAGTTCCAATATTAGTTTGAGCTCCCAGTGTCCTTTCCCACCTTTTTGAATTGTATGTCCGTCTTTTTATTGCGATATTTTTGTAGGTATTCTTAACTTCAAATGCTAATGGAATTTTCTGACCGCCCAGGTGTCCTGCAACATGAAAACAATGAAGTAGTAGAAATTAACTCTATAAACATATGAAACAACCATGTGTGATTGCAAAGAACCAAAATTACATTGTCGATTGTATGGTAGTACATGGTAAGGAGCAATCCCATGCTTCCAATATGAAGCTTGTGACCTGGATTACAATGTTTTGGTCATCTAACTACAAGACAAAGGTGTATGGTCCAAAACAACAATAGAACTAATGGATATCAAGGGCGAACTATACAAGACATATGGCATCTCGTTTTTGTGTCGTGCACCTCGGCCACCTCTGTGCCGCGTCCGAAACCACGATCGGCAATGCACGAGCTTGTCACCCTCTCGTCCTCTCGTAAGAAACATCCATGATTCATCTATCCTCATTTTCTTAGTCCTGCTTATCACCGAAGCATATTAGATTTGTTAGGGTTCTAGTATAAAATTACAATTCTATTTCTTTACTTTCTTTTGCAATTTTATTATGTGTTTAAATGTTGCCTAAAAAGTATTTTTCGAGTGCCGAGAAAATAAAATAAACATAGACGAGCAGATCAGTTTATTGAATAATAAAGGGGTACTTTAAATGTTGCCTAAAATCATCATTGTCGATGGTCTTGGAGTCATAAGAATTTTGTTCTTATTTGAGGTAATCATACTAGTTTCATCTTGTTGTTCTTTCAATCTTCTTACCGTAAGACATCTCAAACTAAAAACATGGTTGGGATATAACTCTTAAAACTTTTCATGTAAAAGTAGACACATATATGTGTGTATGTACATGTACATATAGCCTTACGGACCTACTGACTTCGCCCAGTGACCCTCGGAAACATAAAGTTGGCCCTGTCTTGAAGTCGACAACAGCGGTGAGAAGGTATAAATGGGCTTGCGGGAGGCCACTGAAGGAGGATGTGTGGCGGAAGGGCAGTCCATAACACGACTGCTGATGGGCATCGGTGAGGATGACGTGGCAGCACTCAGAGCAAGCATGATGAGGGAGCAAGAGAAGCGATGTGATCTCGGGTAGGGTGGTCGTGTTGAAGTTGATGGGGCGTCGCACGACGTGTTCCCATCTGCAGCATCAAAAAGTAAATCCAATGTTCAAAATTGATGCAGCGTGTGTTGGGTTTCGTAGTAATTTCAAAAAATTTCCTACGCACACGCAAGATCATGCGATGCTTAGCAACGAGAGGGGAGAGTGTTGTCTACGTACCCACGCAGACCGACTGCGGAAGCGTTGACGCAACATAGAGGAAGTAGTCGTACGTCTTCCCGATCCGACCGATCCAAGCACCGTTTCTCCGGCACCTCCGAGTTCTTAGCACACGTACATCTCGATGACGATCCCCGGGCTCCGATCCAGCAAAGCGTCGGGGAGGAGTTCTGTCAGCACGACGGCGTGATGACGATCTTGATGCACTACAGCAGCAGGGCTTCGACTAAACTCCGCTACAGTATTATCGAGGAATATGGTGGCTGGGACACCGCACACGGCTAAGGAATAGATCACGTGGATCAACTTGTGTGTTCATGGGGTGCCCCTTGCCTCAGTATATAAAGGATGGAGGAGGAGGAGGCCGGCCAAGGCTTGGTGCGGCCAGGATGTGGAGTCCTACTAGGACTCCAAGTCCTAGTAGGAGTCCACCAAGAGGGGAGGAAGGGAGAAGGAAGTGGAGGAGAAGGAGAGGTGGCCGGCCCCCTTTTCCCTAGTCCAATTCGGACTAGAGGGGAGGGGGAGGGGCGCAGCAGCCTCTTGGCCCTTTCTCCTCTTCCCACTAAAGCCCATCAAGGCCCATTGCTTCTCCCGTAACTACCCGGTACTCCGAAAAATACCCGAATCACTCGGAACCTTTCCGATGTCCGAATATAGTCGTCCAATATATCAATCTTTACGTCTCGACCATTTCGAGACTCCTCGTCATGTTCCCGATCTCATCCGGGACTCCGAACTCCTTTGGTACATCAAAACTCATAAACTCATAATATAACTGTCATCGAAACCTTAAGCGTGCGGACCCTACGGGTTCGAGAACAATGTAGACATGACCGAAACACGTCTCCGGTCAATAACCAATAGCGGGACCTGGATGCCCATATTGGCTCCTACATATTCTACGAAGATCTTTATCGGTCAGACCGCATAACAACATACATTGTTCCCTTTGTCATCGGTATGTTACTTGCCCGAGATTCGATCGTCGGTATCCAATACCTAGTTCAATCTCGTTACCGGCATGTCTCTTTACTCGTTCCGTAATACATCATCTCGCAACTAACTCATTAGTTGCAATGCTTGCAAGGCTTATGTGATGTGCATTACCGAGAGGGCCCAGAGATACCTCTCCGACAATCGGAGTGACAAATCCTAATCTCGAAATACGCCAACCCAACATCTACCTTTGGAGACACCTGTAATGCTCCTTTATAATCACCCAGTTATGTTGTGACGTTTGGTAGCACCCAAAGTGTTCCTCTGGCAAACGGGAGTTGCATAATCTCATAGTCATAGGAACATGTATAAGTCATGAAGAAAGCAATAGCAACATACTAAACGATCGGGTGCTAAGCTAATGGAATGGGTCATGTCAATCAGATCATTCAACTAGTGATGTGACCTCGTTAATCAAATAACAACTCTTTGTCTATGGTTAGGAAACATAACCATCTTTGATTAACGAGCTAGTCAAGTAGAGGCATACTAGTGACACTCTGTTTGTCTATGTATTCACACATGTATTATGTTTCCGGTTAATACAATTCTAGCATGAATAATAAACATTTATCATGAAATAAGGAAATAAATAATAACTTTATTATTGCCTCTAGGGCATATTTCCTTCAGTCTCCCACTTGCACTAGAGTCAATAATCTAGATCACATCACCATGTGATTAACATCGATAGTTCACATCATCATGTGATTAACACCCATAGTTCACATCGCCATGTGACCAACACCCAAAGGGTTTACTAGATTCGGTAATCTAGTTCACATCGCTATGCGATTAACACCCAAAGAGTACTAAGGTGTGATCATGTTTTGCTTGTGAGAGAATCTTAGTCAACGGTCTTTCACATTCAGATCCGTTATGTATTTTGCAATTTTCTATGTCTACAATGCTCTGCACAGAGCTACTCTAGCTAATTGCTCCCACTTTCAATATGTATCTAGATCAAGACTTGGAGTTATCCAGATCAGTGTCAAAACTTGCATCGACGTAACCCTTTACGACGAACCTTTTTGTCACGTCCATAATCGAGAAACATATCCTTTATTTTACTAAGGATAATTCTGACCGCTGTCCAGTGATCTACTCTTAGATCACTATTGTACTCCCTTGCCAAATCAGTGCAGGGTATACAATAGATCTGGTATACATCATGACATACTTTATAGAACCTATGGCCAAGGCATAGGGAATGACCTTCATTCTCTTTCTATCTTCTGCCGTGGTCGGGCTTTGAGTCTTACTCAACTTCACACCTTGTAATACAGGCAAGAACTCTTTCTTTGACTGCTCCATTTTGAACTACTTCAAAATCTTGTCAAGGTATGTACTCATTGAAAAACCTTATCAAGTGTCTTGATCTATCTCTATAGATCTTGAAGCTCAATATGTAAGCAGCTTTACCGAGGTCTTTCTTTGAAAAACTCCTTTCAAACACTCCTTTATGCTTTGCAGAATAATTCT